TTTGGAGTGAATGTGGCTCTGCTGAAACCTTGATTTTAGCTGCAAAAGAGTCATTTCAGACTTAAGGCCTTTATAACTATCAAAGAATAAATAGATGTTGTTTTAAGATGCCAAGTTTGTGATTGTTACAGCAGCCAAAGAAAACTAATGCAGTCAGAAATCATTATCTTAAAAATATTAATAAAAAGGGAAGCATTCATTTCTCCTTTCCTAAATGAACAATACCACTTGGTAAGTAGCAAATGAGGAAGTGTCTTATTAACCATTCCAGCTAATAAATAAAAATATTAGGATATCATAGGTATTTTATAAATACTAATAAATTAGAATTTAGACATGGAGCACAAATGGCTGCTAACATCAAAATCGAGAGAAAACATGTACCTTGAGATAAAAGATTATATTCTTACCAAAGGGATAAAAATGTAATTTTATCAAATTTCTAGATCCTAAAGACAGTTTGCAGGAAATGGAATAAAATAGAACATGTTGAATTACATCACAAGTATATAATAAAAAAAATCCAGACTATGAGAAACCAGACTGGACAAACATCTCATTTCTTCAACAAATAATTAGTAAAGAAAAGAAGGGATAACAGGAACACCTGTATATAAAAGGAGACTTAAAACACAATTCAAGTTAAGAAAAATAGGTAAGACTAAATAAACTGTAATATCCAGGGATATCCACTTGGGTCATTAAAAGCCATAGAAAACAACAAAGAAATGAGTGTCATAAAAGTTGGGATAGTGTACATAGATGGGAAGCGGCTATCAGTGCTAAAGGGCACACAGAGATACTTCTGGGATGGTTAACCAATTTCTATTTCTTGGCCAGGATGGTGGTTATAAGGCTATTCTCTTAGACCATTCAGGCAGATATAACAAAATGCCAAAGACTAGGTGGCTTATAAACAATATTAAGTTTATTTCTCACAGTTCTGGAGCCTGGAAGTCTAAGATCATAGCACTGGTATGCTTGGGTAGTGCCCTCTTTTTAGTTGCAGACTTCTTATATCATCAGTAGGCAGAAGGGGTCAGGGAGCTCTCTGGAACCTCTTATACGAGAACTAATCCAAAGTCTCCACCTACTAATACCATCATATTTGGGGGTTAGGATTTCAACTTAATGAATTTTGAAGAAGGGAAACACAAACATTTAGAACATAGCAGATACTTAACCTTACAGTAAGTCACTAAGCTACATTTTCTTTTGTGTGTTTTTCTGTAATTTTATTTTATAATAAAAAGACAAAAAAAATAAAACAAGTAAATACTACACTAGTGCTTCCACCATAAACAACTAAAATTTGGACAAAATATAGGAAAGAACTGTCTTCAGACTTTGAAAAACAGGCAGTTCAAGAGTGTGATCCTAAAGAGAAAGGAAACAATGAAATAAGTTATTCATTCATTCCACCTTTTAATTGGAGGTAGTTTACAGACTGAAATCAGGAAAGGAGAGCATGAAGAGGCCTGGGAAATATTTGAATTTAGCAGAATGGAGAAACAATGTTGACCAATCAAGGCATCCCATAGAGATCCCCAAATGGTCCCACCTTAGTAATGGGGCTAAATTTTCCCACATTAAGAATATTCTGTCATCACCTGAACAAAGCTTTTTAAAAAACCTGGAATAGATGAAGTAACCATGACACAGCGAAACTCAGCATTCTTTAAAGAAAGACCAAACATCCAGACTCTGTAACATCAAACTCATATTCAGCATTTGATCAAAAATTACTACACATGCAGGAAAAAATGACTAATAGCTAGGAGTGCAATTAATAGAAATAAGTATAATGATGAAATTAGCAGACACATTCTTTAAAATAGTAATTATAAGTATTTTGATAGGAAAACATGAAAGTGAGAGGAATGCAAGATATGAGAAACTAAAATGAAACATTTAGATGTAAAAAAATATATTCAAAATGAAGAAAAACAAAAACCCAAAAACAACAGATTAACATCATAGCCGACTGTACACTAAAATAAAAGGTAAGTGAACTGGGGTCCCTGGGTGACTCAGTTTGTTAAGTGTCTAACTCTTGATCTCAGCTCAGGTCATGCTCTCACAGTTTATGAGTTTGAGCCCTGTGTCAGGCTCTGCACTGACAGTGCAGAGTCAGCTTGGGATTCTCTCTTTCTCTTTTTGCCCCTCCCCTGTTCTCTGTCTCTCAAAATAAATAAGTAAACTTAAAAGAAAAAGTAAATGAACTGAAGGTATAGCAAACAACAATAAACTGTTCAAACTAAAGGACAAAGAGAAAAGGGCCAAAAGTAAATGAACATATTGACTCTGTGAGTGTGGAACAATATCAAGTGATCTATGGATAGTGTCCCAGAAAGAGGGGGAACAGAAAATTTTTTGATGATATAGCAGTCAAATATTTTTGAAACTTGAAGAAAATTATATACTCCCAACAGCCTGAATTCCAGTTAGTCCCAAACAGAGTAGACAACCAAGAAAATCATACCAATAGACTTCAGTTGTTGAAAATTAATGACAAAAATTCTTTTAAATGAGCCCAAGACAAAAAAAGTCATTTTACTTGTAGTGCAATCAATAGGATAAGAATATTGACTTTCATTAGAAATAATATAAGCTGGATGGTGATGGAAAAACATCTTCAAAGTTTTGTCTTCAAAGGCAGAAAGAAAAAAAATCTATAATCAGGTTCTATAACTAGTTAAAATATCCTTCAAAAATGAAGGCAAAGTAAAGACATTTTCAGACAAAGCTAAGAAAATGTATCACAACCCAGCACTATAAGAAATGATAGAGGAAGTTATTTTAGACTGAATAAAAATAATGCCAGATAGAAATTGGTTCTATACAACTGTTCTAATAATCCAGTTAAAGATAGAGATTTTCAGGCTATGTGAAAAAACAAGGCAAACTTTATGGTGTGCACAATAATCATTTTGAATATAAAGACAGTGGTAGGTCTTTAGTTGTAAAAAAGCTAAAGTGGCTATATTAATATCGAAAAATAAGGTGAAGTGATAATACCAAAGTAAAGAATGCTATCTTATAATAATTAAAGGATCAATTCGAGAGGGCATAAAAATCCTAAACATGTATTCACCTAATAACTGAGTTTCAAAATGCATGAAGCCAAAACTAAAAGAACTGAAAAGAAAATTAATCTATAATTATGATTGAAGATTTCAGCACAATTTAGTAACTGATAAAGGAAATTTACAGGAAATTATTAAGTTTACAGAAGACATGAACAATATCATCATGCCTGCCCTAAACTGAAATATAGAAAATTACATTCAACAAAAAAATGTATATTCCTTTGAGTGCATAGGAAATATCATCAAAATAGACTATATGTGGAGCCACAAAAAAATTTCTATTAAATGTAAAATAACCAAAATCATACAGCATTATTCTCTGACCATAATGAAATGAAATAAAAAAATTATCTTAAATAAATACCTAAATATTTGAAAACTAATCTACACAGTTTTAAATAACCGAGATTCAATGAATAAATAACATGGTGAATTAGAAAAAAAATGTTGAAATGAAATATATTATTTTTGAATTAAAATGAGAATAACACACTAAAGTTTTTAGAGGCAGCTAAAGTGATGCTTAGAGAGAAATTTATAGCCTTAAGTGCTATTATTTTCTTGAAAAATAGTGATATTAATATCTTAATGCTATTAATGATAATATTAATTTTTTTAAATCAATGATCTAATCTTTTATATTAAAAGGTAAAAAAATTAAGTTCAACATAAGTAGAAGGAAGGAAATAAGGAATAGAGTAATGAATCAAAATAAATAATAAATAGAATAAATATCAGTTGAACAAAAATCAATAAAATTGATAAACCTCTTGCTAGATTGATCAGAAAAAAAATGAAGACAAAAATTTCCAAAGATAGGAATAATAAAGGGGAAAACTCTGTAGAGCTTATAGGACAAATTTCATGATAAAATGAACTACTTAAAATTGATAAATTGAAACTGTCTGAAAGATCAAGTGAACAAAATTGACACAGGGGGAAAAAATAAGTATGTCCAAAGTTCTCCTATTAATAAAAAGGAAATTTATTATTTTAAAAACTCCCAACTTCTAAAACAAAGAGCATCATTCCCACATGGTAGGACTGGTAAATTTAAGGAAATATTAAAAGAAAATTGACACTAATCTTACATAGATTTGAGAAAACAGTGGGAATTAAATACTTCCAACTCATTTTAGGAGGCCAACACTGTCCTAATACCGTAAAACCAGACGGAGACATTGCAAAGAAACAAAACTACAGATCAATATCCCTCATGAACATAGATGAAAATATTCTTACCAAAATATTATAAATCTAATCCAGAAAAATATAAAAATATCATTACCAAGTAGTATTCTGGAAATGCAAAATTGATTTAACTGTCAAAAAATACAGATATTTGACTCGAAATGGATCAGAGGTCTGAACATAAAGGCTAAAACATTATGAAACTTCTAGAAGAAAACCAAGACAAAATTATTACAGAACAGGGATAGACAAAGATTTTTGAGAAAACATACCAAAACCTCCCATCATAAAGCAAAAAATGATAAATTTACTTATCAAAATTAAAAAAACTCTTTAATTTTTAAATTGCTTTTTGTAAATTTTATAGTTTAATAAATTATTTAATAAAGTAAGGAATTAAAGTGACTGGTACAGTGGTTATAAACCTATTGAGAGAGGGGTGCCTGGGTGGCTCAGTCATTTGAGCATCTGACTCTTGATTTCGGCTCAGGTCATGATTCTGTGGGTGTGAGATCAAACTTCACATCAGGCTATGTGCTGAACATGAAGCCTGCTTGGGATTCCCTCTCTCCCTTTCTCTCTCCCTCTCTCTTTGCCCCTCTCTTCTAATCATGGTTGCTCTCTAAAAATAAATAAATAAATAAGTAGATAAATAAATAAATGTTGAGAGACTGGGCATGTGAGACTTGAGATGTAATTGTTTGAATACATAAATTTCAGGCATCGATGAAGAGATCATCCCAATTCTGTTGACTTCCTGAAGTAATGCTCAGTGCCAAGAAATCTCTTCAATCTTTAAAAATCTATCTGGCAAGGTAAGGCCACACTTCATCCCAAAGTAGAATGTGGAAAACAGCTGTATGTCTTAGGACTAATTTAAAATCTCATATTCTTTTGTAAAAATGATTTATGATTCTGACTTTCCTACTGCTTTTCTCCTTTTCAGTCTTAATTATCAGCTGTTGGTTTACAGTGCTTATCCAACTTATCCTTACTGAATTGTATGTCTTTGCATGATGCTGTAGAGGTGCTGAAAGATCCATAGTGATAACTGCCTTTCTTCTTCTCTTCTGTGCTTCCAACTCAGGATTGTTTTATTATCCATTCTGTAGGTGTAAATCTGTATTATAATGTGTTTCCTGACACAGGTACAGTCTTAGTTCCTTTTGAAGTGGATTTCATAAATGTTATTATTATCATTTTAGGTTTTGAAACAGTATCTTTTTTTTTCTCAGTATTGAGATACAATTGATATACAATACTGTATAAGTTTAAGGTGTACAGCATTGTTTGACTTACATATTTGTGACAAAATGACCATGGTGAGTTTAATTTCTATCACCTCATACAGATACAAAAAAAATGAAATAGAAAGTGTTTTATCCTGTGTGATAGGATCTCCTAGAATTTATTTTCTTAACAACTTTCAAACATACCGTACAGAAGTGTTAACTATAGTCATCATTTACATTACATCTGTAGTACTATTTATAATTGAAAGTTTGTACCTTTTGATCACCTCCATCCAATTCCACCCTCCTTCACCCACTGCCTCTGGTAACTACAAATCTGATCATTTTTTTCTTTCTTTCTTTTTTTTTTTATGAACTTGGAAATTTGATTTGTTTTTGTTTTATTTTTTAAAATTGTTTTTAATGTTTATTTTTGAGAGAGAGAGATAGAGTGTGATTGGGGGAAGGGCAGAAATAGAGACACACACACAGAATCTGAAGCAGGTTCTAGGCTCTGAGCTATTAGCACAGAGCCTGATGCAGGGCTCAAACTCAGAACCACAAGACGATGACCTGAGGTGAAGTCGGAAACTTAACCAACTGAGCCACCCAAGGCGCTCTCATTGTTTTGTTTTGTTTTTTTGTTTCTTTAGAGTCTACATATAAGTGAGATCATACAGTATTTTTCCTTAACATAATATCTTCAAAGTCAATTGGTGTTTTCCCAAATGGCAGGATTTTGTTCATTTTTATTTTGAATAATATTCCATCGTGTGTGTGTGTGTGTGTGTGTATGTGTGTGTATATACTACAACTTTTTTATCCATTTATCCATGTATGGAGATGTAGGTTGTTTCCATGTCTTACATATTGTAAATAATGCTATGGCTAGCATAGGGGTGCAGATTATCTTTTTGACATAGTATTTTCATTTCCTTCTCCTATATATTCCCATATGTGGAATTACTGGTTGTTCTAATTTTAAGTTTCAGAGGAACCTCCTTACTATTTTCCATAGTAGCTGTACCAATTTACCATCCCACCCACAGTGCACAAGTGTTTCCTTTTCTCCACATCCTTATGAGCATTTGTTATCTCTTATCTTTTTTATTGTGGCATTCTAACAGATGTGAGGTGATATTGTGGTTCTTTTTTTTATTCTTGAGAGAGAGTTAGAGACATCATGAGCAGGGTAGAGTCAGAGAGAGAGGGAGACACAGAATCTGAAGCAGGCTCCAGGCTCTGAGCTAGCTGTCAGCACAGAGCCTGATGCGGGGCTCGAACCCATGAACTGTGAGATCATGACCTGAGCTGAAGTCGGACACTTAACTGACAGAGCCACCCAGGCACCCCTGTGATATTATGGTTTTAATTTGGATTTCCCTGGTGATTATTGGTCCTGAGCACCTTTTCATGTACCTGTTGGTCATTTGTATATCTTCTTTGGAAAAAGTCCATTCAGATCCTTGCCCATTTTTTTTTTTTAATGTTTTATTTATTTCTAGGAGAGAGAGAGAGAGACAGCGTGAGCAGGAGAGGGTCAGAGAGAGGGAGTCACAGACTGAAACAGGCTCCAGGCTCCGAGCTGGCAGTCAGCACAGAGCCCAACGCGGGGCTCGAACCCACGAACCGCGAGATCATGACCCAAGCGAAAGTCAGACGCCCAACCGACCAAGCCACCCAGGCGCCCCCCTTTGCCCATTTTTTAGTTGGATTATTTGGGGGCTCTGATACTGAGTTGTATAAATTTTTTTTATATATAGTTTGGATATTAGCTCCTTATCAGATACATAGTTTGCAAGTATTTTTCCTCCATTTTCACTTTGGTCAATTTCTTTTGTTGTTTTCGTTTTTGTTTTCTGTGTAGAGCTTGTTAGTATGATGTAGATTCACTTATTTTTTCTTTCTTTGTTACTTGTGCTTAGGTAGGTGCCATATCCAAAAAATTGCCATGACCATTTCCTGTGTTTTCTTCTAGAAGTTATATGGTTTCCAATCTTAACCTTTAATCCATTTTGAGTTCATTTTTGTGAGCAGTGTAAAACAAACAGGTTTTAAGTTTAAATTTTTTATATGGGACTATCTACAATTTTTCTAGTACCATATATTGAATAGACTGTCTTTTCTCCATTGAGTATTCTTGGCCCTCTTGTCAAATATTTATTGACCAGAATAAACATGGGTTTATTTCTGGGTTCTTGATTCTGCTTCTTGGTCAATGTGTCTGCTTTAATGCTGGTATCATATTATTTTGATTACTATACCTTTATAATATAGCCTGAAATCAGGAAGGATGATGCTTCCCACTGTGTTCTTTTCTCAACATAACTTCCCTTTTAAATATCCCATTAAAATGAAAAGGCAAGCCATAGATTGGAAAAATATTATATATGTGTCTATTAAAATATATATATATAATTATATAATGTAGTAAATGTATATTATAATTATATTTTATAAAAGATTATATGTAAATAATATGTAAGTGGCAAATAAATACTGAGAAAAATGTTCACTCTCAATAGTCCTCAGAAAAATGCAAATTGAAACTCAGATGAACAAATGACTATATATCTTTACCATGGCCAAGATGAAAAGAATTAGAAATATAACTTACGGGCAAGAATGTGAAACAACAGAAACTCAAACATTGCTGGTTGGATTGTAAAATTGTATAACATTTTAGAAAACTGATTAGAAGTTTTACACATTATTTAATAAAACGTTTACACAAATAAGTCAATGTCAAGAAATAACCTAACAATTTACCCTTTTCAAAAAATGAAGAGAAAATTATATAGAAATTTATCCCAGTAACAATCAGTGCTAGAAGACTATAATACATTATTTACATTTTCCCCAGGAAAAGAAAGAACATCCTAAGAATTTGATATAAAACCAAATTATTGCACAAGTTTAGTCTCATAGACATTTCAAACCTATAAAAATTAGAGGATAAGTTATATTACTTTTATAAAGGAAACCACTGAAATTATTATAAAGAAAATAAACATGCTTAAAATTAAACCATAGGAAAAAAAACTGGTAGCAAATATTTATAAAAGAAGAAAACATAAAACAATTTGACAGAACTAAGTCCAAATATATCTCTCAGATAATAAATTTATATGGAATAAACTCACCTAGTAAAGAAAACTGTTAGATTAAATCACAAAGCAAAACCCAAGTATAAATTGTAGTTTAACGAGATCCAATCTAATCGAGAAAGGTTAAAAATTAATATTTGGGTATAGACATAACTGCAAGTACAAACAAAATGAAAATAGGGGATATTGCGTGTTTTTCCCCATTTTACGAGAAATAATTGACATACATCACTGTATAAGCTTAAGGTGTACAGCATGATGGTTTGATTTACATATGTTATAAAATGACTATCACCATAGTTTACATCCTCCATCTCATATAGATACAAGAAGAAAAAAACCCAATGTCTTGTGATGAGAACTCCTAAATTCTACCCTTTTAATAACTTTCCCATGTACCATACAGCACTGTTAACTATAGTCATTATGCCATATATTACATCCGTATTATTACTTTATATGCTAAAGATAAATATATGATATACAACAAATATAAGATAACTGGAAGTTTGTACCTTTTGACCACCTTCTTCCAATTCCCCTCTCCTCATCCCTGTCTCTGGTAGCTACCATTATGGTCTCTTTCTATGAATTTGTTGTTCCTTTTTTTTTTTTTTTAGATTTTACATATGATCTCACTTAGAGATCACACAGTATTTGTATTTCTCTATCTGACTTGTTTCTTTTAACATAATGCCTTTAAGTTCCATTCATGTTGTTGCAAATGGCAGGATTTCCTCTTTTTATGGCTGCATAATATTCCATTGTATATATACACCACAACTTCTTTATCTATTCATCTATCAATGGACAATGTATTGTTTCCATATCTTGGCTATTGGCAATAATGCTGCTATGAATATGGGTATATAGATGTTTTTTCAAGTTATGTGTATGTTTACATGTATTAGTTTTTTCACACTAATTGGTAGATGCTTATCAATCCCATTTCCTCTTCCACATGGGGCCACTACCTTTCTCAGCCCAGACTGCAATATGGATATGGTCTTGTGACTGGATTCTGGCCAAAGTAATGTGGTGGGTAAGATACACCCACAATAAAATGTTTCATGCAGTCTTCTCACTTTTTTTTCTTGGCCAACTATAAACAAAAGATTTAACATAAAATTCTGAAGGAGCTATATAAGATGGCCTGAACTAAATTGCTCTTTTCAAAATATCAATATATAGTTAATAGATTATACTTATTTCTCTATAGAGTATGGCCCTTCATACCAAAAGGTGACATCTTCAGGGCTGATTTCCTCATTCCAGGGCCTATATCTACTTAAATCCCAACTATCAGATATCCTTAAGCTTCAGTTGAAAGTTAATGTTGAAATATTCCTGGGTAAGGCCATAATAAAATTCTTTTTCTTTCACCTACTTTCTTCCATGTAGAGGTTATCAATCATCAAGCCTTGTACAACTGTTAATATTTCCAGGCCAGTCCAATCATTTAATGAAAATGATCTC